GGGTGCAGATCTTGGTGATCAGTTTTTGGTCAGGTGAGGTCAAGGTGGCACATGTTTGGACTATCATGAGTTTTTACTGCGGTTTAGTTTAGATTGGAGGGATCATTCGAAATGAGGTGGGTGTCCTTTAAGGGATTGCATGACACTAAAAAGTTCCCCTTTAGTTTACTCTTAGGTAGTTTGTTAACTCTGGTAATATAGTCACTTGGAGAATTTATTTTTATCGACCAGTGTGGGGGGATTTTTCCAACCAGGGGCTGGCGGTTCAGTTTGATAATCTGCGGGGTAAGGGCTTCAACTTACCAAAACTTAGGTTTACCTAGGCGAGAGTATGGGAGGCAGTGGCGTTATCTGGGTTTTTGTGTCGTGAGGTCTAATTTTAGTATCTCACATTATACCTTCTTCCTGTTAATTGCCCACCGGTTTGAGTAGATTATTTTCGCGTGTAGTTTAGTTAGTATTTTTGTCAATTTTGACTTATATGTAATTTTCTACTTATAATCGCGTCCATGTTAGGTTTCTAACTGGAACCCATTAATAAAAATAAAAATAAAAATGTGTATATATATATATTTTATACTAGGATAATGAATTAAACGTTGAGGAAGATACTTATAGCTCAATATCATCAGATGATTAGTTCAGTAGTTAGTAGCATTAATAAAGAAAATATATTTGTATAATGATAATAAATTTAATTATACGCTTTTAACAATAAACATAAATCTATATAACATAAATATAATATTTATTTAAACATATATAAATTTTATTTGAATTGTAAATAAAAAAACCATACAAATCTATATAAATATATTTTTCACGTAAAATCAGATTTACATAAAATCTATGTTGGGTCCTTAAAATTACATAGATTAGTATATGTAAATTTTATATAGAATTTTCATATAAATCTACATAAAAAACATCTCCTGATGAATGTACTGTATTTTATTAAATTTTACAATATATTTTACAGTAATTTGCTAAATATACATGTTAATAAATTAATATTACAATTAATGTATTTTACGATGTCCTATAACGCTACAAAACCAAAATACATTTAGAAAATTTTTGATTGTTAGCAAAGTATTTCATCTAATTTCACAAATTTTCAACACTTCAGAAAACCTATTTTATAGTTTACAGAATTTACACTGTGTAAAAAAAAAATTATAATAATTAATAAATATGTCATTAATTATTTCTTAACACATTGCAAAAAAATTTTCTTGATTAAAAATTGGTATTTTTTACTATTTTGTAAAGATACTTATTATATTTCTTTAATATTTCAAAACTGCTTAGTTATAGAATAGTAGTAATGATTTTACAATTCGTGATGATTTCATTATGTACTATGCAGTAACGTGATCGATGCAATTTTCTGATGAATAGAAGTCGAATACGTGAAGACTAACTATAAAACATCGGGTTTCTGTAAAGTAAGTTATATCTTATGATTGGAAAAGTTATAAAAAGAAGATTTATTTAAATTACAAACTAAGAAATTTGTAAAATATTTACTACTCTAATCTTAGTGTTTAAATAATTTAAGTATAATAAAAAAAGTGAATATAAAAATATAAGCTAAAAAACTTGTAAAATATTTACTATTCTAGCCTTAGTGTTTAAATAAATTTAAATAAAAAACAATTTCTTTTGAATGTGTAATATCAAATATCACTTAAAAAAAACTATAAATTTTTTTAAAAACAAACAATGATTAGTTAATTTTCATCCGTTTTAATATCTAAATAATTAAATATTAAATAAAATTAATTCACATAAATAATTTGCCTTTTATATATCACAGTACACCATACCTAATGATCCTAAATCCTTAATTATATAATCATTTAAATCTTCACTTACTAGCAGTTCATTTGCTTCTACAATAGCTTGTGAATTTTCATTTTCAAGAATTTCATTCAACTTTTTACTAGTATTCTCATCTGTTTCAATATTAAATAAATAAATTAATTTTTATATAAATAATTTGCAAGATTAATTCTTTTATGTATCATAGTACATACCTAATGACCCTAAATCCTTAATTATATTATCATTCAAATCTTCACTTACTAGCATTTCATTTGCTTTTACACTTGTTTGTGAATCTTCACTTTCAAGAATTTCATTCAATTTTTTACTAGTAAAATCAAGTAAGCGACTTTTATAACATGTTTTAGAGTGAGATTTTGTAACAAGATTGTTATACCCAATTGGTGCATTTATAAATTCCATAATGTTGCTTTTTAATTCTTCACTGACTTTATCATTATAAGGACGGAAAATCCAATTTCTAATAACTGATTCCACTTTAGAAGTAGATGGCCTTTTTAATGGATCTTCATTCCAACATTTTTTCATCAAATTTACATAGCATTGTGGAGTATTTTCAATAATTTCAGGACGTTCACCTTTACAAATACTTAAACTAAGTTGAATATCATGAGCTCTATCATAAAATGGTGGTACTCCAGATGTAACCTCCCACATAATCATAGAAAAACTATATATATCACTTTCTGGAGTATAAGAATTACCTCTTAAAACTTCAGGTGCCATAAATGGTAGAACACCATAAATATCATACTTTTTCAAAAATAATTTTACAGGTTGACATAATCCTAAATCACTAATATAAAATTTATCCTTATTCTTATCATTATGATTTAAAATATTACCATCATGAAAATCACAATGAATAAGATTTTCTTTATGTATCTTATTAAGTCCAGAAATAATTTCGTACAATATATATAATTTTTGATTCCAATTATTTTCAACTATACTTGTTAAATTTTCTCTTAAATTACCTTTATTTGCATAATCCATTACTATCATATATTTTGAAGTATTTGGATCTTCTGTAAATCCATAAAAATATATAATATCATTCGAACTTAAAACACTTGCATGATATTTCCACTATAAAAAATAATAAATAATTTATTAATATAAATAAATATTAAATTAAAAATAAAAAATAAATATACTATCATACTTCTTTTAAAAATTCATTTAAGTTTTCATTTAAATACTTATGACATTTAAGAATTACTTCTTCATCTCTATTATTCTTTAACCGAGTAGCTTTATAGATAGTACCAAATCCTCCTTCATTAAGATATTCAACATTTTTAAATTTGTTATAAGGAATCCATTTTAATCCATTTTTAAGAAGAAAATCATCTATAATTGCATTTTTACTTTTTTCAAATCTATAAATTTAATTAGTTAAAATTACTATATTATGGCTTGGTATTATAATTACACTAAAATAAATTATAACTTACTCTAAAATTTAAATAAAGAATTTGATGTAATATAAATCTTAGTTTTAGATAAATATATAATAACCTATAATTTACAACTTACCAACTAAGCAACAGATATTTTTTAAATGAAAGAATCCAGTTAACAAATAAATATTATATAAATTAATAATAGTAGAATTAAATGAATAACTTACTCCCTATAATATTTAATAATTTTTTAAATAAAGAGATTAGCTAGTTTAAATTATATGTAATAATAATAATAATAGAATTAAATAAATAAACTATGACTTACCAACTAAAATAAATTACAAAATAATTATTTAAATAAAGAAATTAGTTAGTTAAATTATATGTAAATATTATAACAATAAGTAATAATAGAATTAAATAAATAACTTACGAACTATATTATTTAATAATTTTTTAAATAGTAAAGAAATTAGTTAGTTTAAATTATATGTAAATATTATAACAATAAGTAATAAGAATTAAGAATTAAATAACTTACGAACTATATTATTTAATAATTTTTAAATAAAGAAATTAGTTAGTTTAAATTACATGTAAATATTATAACAATAAGTAATAATAAACAACTTACTTTCTATATTATTTAATAATTTTTTTAAATAAAGAAATTAGTTAGTTTAAATTACATGTAAATATTATATCAATAAGTAATAATAGAATTAAATAAATAACTTACTTTCTATATTATTTAAAAATATTTTAAATAAAGAAATTGGTTAGTTTAAATTATATGTAAATATTGCAACAATAAGTAATAATAGAATTAAATAAATAACTTACTTTCTATATTATTTAAATTTTTTAAATAAAGAAATTGGTTAGTTTAAATTACATGTAAATATTATAACAATAAGTAACTAATAATAGAATCAAATAAATAACTTTTAACTTACGATCTATTAAATAGATAAAGAAATTAGTTAGATGTAAATATTATAACAATGAGTAATAATAAAATTAAATAAATAACCTACAAACTATATTATTTAATAATTTTTTAAATAAAGAATTTAGTTAGCTTAAATTATATAAATAATAAAAATATAGACATTATATAACTTACACCCTGAATTATTATTAATTATTAATTAGTTAGATATAAAGATAATATAAAAGTATTTACTGTAAATTATATATATTACTTACAATCTAGTTATTTAAATTTAAAAATATAATTAGTTGAATCATATAAAATATTAAACAAATAAATATAATATATATATTGTAACTTACCATCTGTAATATAATTAATTATTAAATAGTTATTCAAACAGAGAATTTAATTATTTGAATGTTATGTAGAGTAAATAAAGTAAAGAACTAAAAATTTAAATAACTGATAACTTACCAACTAGAGTAATATTAATCATTAAATAAATTATTTAGTTGTTTAGAATACAATAAAAATAATGAGTAATTCATTAAATTAACTTACAAGCTAAATATTTAATATTATTTTAATATAATATAGTTAGTCTAATTATATTTGTAGTATTTGAATTGCTTATAAATAAAAACTTAATATTTCAGCTTGTTTGATATACCTTTAGATTCCTTGGTGTCACTTCCTTCAAATTTGGTTTAATTATATTTGATTATTTACAATTAAGTTTATTTAATAAATAAAAATCTTAATATTTCAACTTTGTTTTATATATTATATTTACCTTCAGGTTCTTTAGTATCGCTTAAAACTAGTTTTATTATATTGCAAGTTTTTAAAAATTTTGAATAATTCTAATTTATATTATCAGTTATTATTCATGTTATATGCTTTACCTTTACTGTCTATTGCTATATCAAATTCTTCCTAATTAGAAAAGATAAAGTATTAAATATCTTTTTTTCTTTTTTTTTTTATTATTATTAAACTCCTTCATTAGTATGGTAACAATATTTATGCAAAAGCGTTAATCACAAGTACAAGCATTACATCATTGTTAACAAATTTTGCACAACCGGAATGTATATCAATTATTACAATTAGAGTTTAGATTTATTGGTTATTTAGATCATTTAGAATTTTAGATATAGATTACGTTTAGTTATAGAGTCATTAATAATTTTTTATTAATGGATCTAGGTATTTTTGTATTATAAGCTATTGATTTGTAAATATAATTATTTAGTACAATATTTTATTTCTTTATTTAATAATAAGAAAAAATTGAAAGAAAAAGAAAAAAAAAATTGGGTAAAGAAAAAGGATAAAGATTCAAAAAAAGGGAAATTTCTGAAAAAAAAAGGAATCTGAAAAAAGTAAGTACCGAAAAAAAGGGGGTCCAAAATGAATGAAAAAAAATTTTTTTAAAAACAAATAACAATACCTGTCTCTTATACACATCTAGATGTGTATAAGAGACAGATCATATATTTTGAAGTATTTGGATCTTCTGTAAATCCATAAAAATATATAATATCATTCGAACTTAAAACACTTGCATGATATTTCCACTATAAAAAATAATAAATAATTTATTAATATAAATAAATATTAAATTAAAAATAAAAAATAAATATACTATCATACTTCTTTTAAAAATTCATTTAAGTTTTCATTTAAATACTTATNTTTACGGATCGAATAAATAGATCAGGTAGAGGCATGTTACGGGTTTTAATTATATGGCATGGGATTTCAAGTTACACAAATTAAATTATTTTGCGGAGACTAATCCAAATGTCAGACAAACTCGCTAAAAAAAAAAAAACTTTGGGTTAAAAAAAAAATCCGTAAATTCCGTTTAAAAAAAAATCAAATAAAAAAAAAGACTAAAAAGGTAGTTTCAGTTTTTACGGTAAAAAACTGAAAAATAAAAAAAATTATTATTATTGTCTATCTAATAGAAATGGTTAGTATTAATCCATTAGAATAAATAAAAAATCCAGTTAAAATTTTAATTAACCGGAAATGTATTAGTTTAAAGATTGTTTTCAATTATGATATGATAAATACGAAATAGATCAGACGTAAGAACATCACACTTTTTAATGTTACACAATTCAAATTATTTATACGAAATAATGACGACAAAAAATATCATGTGATTTGATTATAATTTGGAACAAATATATCAAACCAAATCACAAAGAAAAATTATGAACAAAACATAATCATTTCAATTAGTTATAGTATTTAATCCATTTTATTTCTTTGCTGTTGAAATGAATTTGAAATTTATTAAATTTATTACATTGCTAGATTATATACATTTAAAACATTCATATTATTTCTTAAATGCAAATATCATTTAATGCATTTATTTATGATAATTCAAATTACTTTAATTTCTTACTAATCACTTATTAAATTTTTCAGTTAATATATATAGGTCTGAAATATCGAACTTTATAACCGTATAATTAATAAAAGAAACATTTTAATGGCTTTATTACTATTATTATTGAATAAAGCAGAAATTTGAAATTTAGTAGGCTTGTTAAAAAAACGATAAATAAACTTGTCTATTTGTTCATTTACATTAGCCCAGTTACTAAAGTTTTTTTGAAATTCTTAGAATAACATTCTTTGCGACAATAATAATAAGTTTTTTGTTGATTGCATTCAGAATATGAGCTGTTATTTTGATGAAGTAGATAATATACGTATAAATTTAAGTTGTTAGTTATTTATTTATTATTTAAATTGTTAAAATTATTTGACTCGTTATCTTGGTTTACACGATTTTCTGAAAAGAAAATTTTCCATTTCCGAAAGAGTTTCAAATGAACATATTATCGTGTCGTTCCTTAATATTTTTTTTTTATCAATTTTTTTTTAAAATATTTAGCTTAATAGACGCTTTATTAAGTATACTTTATAATAACATTAAAGTTTATATAGTAAAAATTCTTTTACTGAACCACCACTTATTTTCTCACAAAAAAGCACACGGAAGAACTGAAAAATAGGCATCCTAGTGATAATTAATTGTGATTTATTTATTTTTATTTATGATGATTTATTTTAATGAATCTGTCTAATAATTACATTTTCTATTATTAAATATTTATTTAGTTAAACAAATTATTGGCAAAATCGAAGTATTTATATATTATTGCCGCAATATTATTAATGAACAATTAAAATTAATGTTAAATATCACTGAATTTAATTGGTCATGCATCACGTGATTGCAAATCATTTTGTTTGTTTTTGATCAACCTGAAAAAGCTTTACAATGATTTACGCCCAGCTTTAAAATAGACATCAGCTGATACATTACAAATCACTGATTGCCGTAAAATTACTAGAATTAGAAACGCCATTTATCAAGATACACTCAGGTGATCATCAAAGGTTATAACCTTACTATTTATGGACAACCATTAAAAAAAATAGTATACAGACCTCATTGAAAAAATTTCGCCATCTTTCTGTAATCCCATTGGTTCATAATTTTCCCAATCAGCTCGCTCGCGAGAGGCAGAATGTGACAAGAAAATATAAACCAGTAGGAAATAAAAAGAATATAAATAACTCAAAACTCAAAAGGACCTCGAGTTTGAAAAAATGATATTTTTTGTTTAAAATTTTATATTTTATATAAAGTTTCATTAATATTATTGCTTATTTGTTCATTAAAATCTACATCTATTGTAATAATTGGCAGATGACAAGATAAATGTGATAATTTGATGATATTGTTTAATTTTCAAATGTTTGCATAATTCTCAAAATAATATTGATCAATTTTTAAATAAGGTATTAATTTAACTACAAATTTAATTTTAAATTATTTTTAATGTAATATTTATTTTGATATAATATTTTTTTAGTGTAAACGAATTTCTTGCTAGTGATAGTACGGCAATGTGGTAATATATAATGCTCAAAATCAAGATACAAAATATTATTTTATGATTTTTGATATTATTT